ATGGTATATTCTGTAATAGAGATGACAAAACATTCTCAATTACATGAAAAAATATTTTTAGTATAATTATTCATGTACATATGAAATAAATAAGCTCTGTGGTTTGCTATGAAGCAAACCAACCATTGAGTGATTTCCAACAAAGATAACTTAAATTGAGCTTTTGGAATATCAAGTGTACTATGCTTACAGAGTTAGTTTTTTGTGTATTTTTTTCTTAATTTTCTAATCATTTTGTAAATTCATTGGCACCGGAGGCCATCTCTTATACTTCTTTATATTTTCCTTCATTGTCTAGGAATCCTAACTAGTTGGTAGAGAAATTATAACAGTGGAAGTCAGTAGACCATGGAATACCTTTGGAGCTCACCCCTAATGGAGGTATTAATTGCTCAGTGAAAAAGACTCAAACATAAATGCCAAGGGCCTCCCTGGTGGCCCAGGCAGTTGAGCTCCACATTGTGAAGCTGTCCGCAGCCTCTGTGGCACGGGTTCGATCCTGGCCAGCCAGCGAGATCCCACATGGCGCGGCAGACCTCTCCTGTCTGGCCCACTGCTCCCCTCAGCAGTGTATTTCATCAGTCTGCCTGATCTGCTCCCCGTTCTGTCTCTGGTGGATCCTCTCACCCTCCCGCGCATCTGGCCCATACCCCAGTTCTTGTATAAATAAATAAAATCTTTTTTAAAAAAAACATAAATGCCGAAAGAAATGGGACTGTGAATAATCCACTGACTTGCTTATTTTTAATAATTATAATCACTAAGGGATGCTAACTCATCTAGCCACTCAACTATATTCTAAGTCACCCATAGATGTAAAGCATGTATATGATGAAATCAAACACAAACACAAAATGTATGCACACATGACCACTTAAGAGTGTATATATATATTGCCTGGTTCTAACTTTGTCTAGAATAACGAGATTATTCTAGAGTTATCTGTATGTTTGATTGCTTTTTCTGGACTCTTTATATTTGGTTTTTAAGGAAAAAATGTATGGCAGACATTAAAGGAGAAAATTGATCTGTAGATTACAAAGATAAGGGAATGTTCCCATTATTCAATTTTAGAAATAATGTACAGTTTACAGAATGCCGTAGTTCTGGGAACAAGAATTAATATGCTTTGAAATTGAAAATGATTTCTTTATAAATGACGTTGACTAGAATTTCCAGCGGGCCTGTTGCCTGAAGGAAGATTTCCCGGCTTCAGCTTCTGTGATACCCAACAATGAACCATACAAGTCTGGACAGATGGTTGGATTCCAAAGTGTTTCTCATGTTACAGTATTTTCTTCCTATTGTCTCTCCTGAAATCTATAGGGGACAAAAGCAAAGACTATAACTTTCAAAAAATATAAAGAATCTCCTCAATATGTTTTAGGGAGTCACAAGCACTGAACATTAATTACTTTGAAAACCTCGTCCTCCTTTTTAAAAAATATTTTCTTGCTTAAAATTGGATTTCTTATTTGGGGTGGTATGGTTTGCCATCTTTACTGTCTTTATTGCTAGAAATACAAAACAGAAGATGTATTTATATCTTTTCTTAGAAAATCTCTTTTGCTTCCTTTTCTCAGCATATAGTAATAGTCTATGTAGCTTTGGCCTATGGCAAGAGAGGAACATGGGACTAATTCTCAAAGCCATTCATATCCATCCAAAACTAGTGAGTAAAGACTACTTTTATTCCCTAAACATCCCTCTAATCTGTCCAATTCCTTATTTCTCTAATGTTGTGTCTCAGGTCCAAAGTCCTGATGCCTCTCACCTGGATTTCTACAATAAGGACTCAACTGATCTGTCTATCCATATTCACCGTCCTCCTCATTGACCCCAAGAGACACAACAGCCAGAACAGAAAGATCCTTCCATAATGGAAATCTGGTCCTGTAGCTACTGCTACCAGTCCATTCCTGTGACTCAGGATAAAAACAAAATCCCTTACCTGGCACACTTGGGCACCAGCTCTGCTTCTTGCTGTAAGCTCACCTTAGGTCACCTCGCTCTTTAAAAAAAAAAATTCACTTACTCACGCATAGAAGAACTGGGGTACAGGCCAGATGTGCAGGAGGGTGAGAGGATTCACCAGAGACAGAGCGGGAAACAGAACAGGCAGACTGACGAAATATACTGCTGAGGGGAGTAGCGGGCGAGACAGGAGAGGTCTGCCACGCCATGTGGGTATCTCTCCAGCCAGCCAGGAATGAACCTGCACGGTAGAGGCTGTGGGCAGCTCCACAGTGCTGTGCTCAACTGCCTGCGCCACCTGGGAGGCCTCACCTTGCTCTTGTTATCTCTTCTTCGGTGAACCTGGCCTTCTTCCATCCTTCAACAATTCCTTCTACATTAGTGCCATTCCCCACCATTTTAACTTCTTAAGCCCTGATCCTCTCTCTGAGCTGGATTCAGGCATCACATGGTCAGGGAAACCCCCCTGACCTGCTCTAATGTTACCCAAACAATTAGGCCCTCATGGACCAACATAGTTTATCTCCCTTTCTCGACACTTGGACAAAAGGAAGAGATTTATGATCCTGTGTTTAAGGAATTGGGATTTCAAGGGAGGAAACAAAAGCAAAGAGGTGTATTTATTTTGTAATCAACCTTGAAGATTCAAGCCAGCATTTCTAAAGCACAGGGAGAAATACACGTACAACATTATACTCCAGTGTTCTCCAAAAAAGCAGCATCCTTTTAGTAATAAGTATCAGATATTCTTGGGCAAGCGACTATCTGGTCGATCTAGATGCTGGATATAATTTAAAGCCTGGAAGGTTCTTAACAGTTTTTCCCACAAATCCCTTCAAAGTATGGATGAGAAAAGTGTATCTCAGAAGATTAACAGTTTATGAGACAGAATGAGGAGGACCCACTCAAGAAATATCGCTGGAGCATTATTATATGAAGTAGTTTTTCTGTTTCTTGGTTCTCTTTTCATTACTACCTGTGTTCTCTGCTTGAAACATTTACAGAGACAGAGTAAAATTAAATTTGTTCATATTTGCCAGTATAAAGGCAGGCTAATTTCTACCTTAGGTGGATGATACCACACCAATGAACACTCCTGTAAGTCTTTAGTCAAAGGTTTGGTGTGCTGTTGAAATTACGTTATGGTGCAGGCTTATTGCTTTATGAATGAATTCTTCATGTTCTCTTCCTGGACTTTTCTTTCTATATGAAGTCATTAAAAAAGGATCCTAGGAAGGAGAACCCAAAAGGGAGCGTCCTACTCACATAGAGTTCATACCAGCAAATTGTTCTTAATCTTTTCAATCTTCAAGTTAAGCTCCGGTGGTAGACCCCCACCTCCCTTTTTCAGGGAATAGTGCGGGTGAGCTATCATTGCAACAGGATCTCCCATGCAGCTCTCTGACCAACCCTTCTGCTTGGTTCTTTTCATACAATTGCCAAATCATCCATATGATAGATCTAGAACAGTGAGTTACCTATGGCGAGGATTTGGTGAGCTTGTACCTCAAAACACTGGTTTATGAACACTTGAGCCAAAAGGGACATTGACAAGCACTTTATCCACAACCCAATCCATCCAGGAATGCTTTTTAAAACATCTTAAACAGAGAGATTAAATGTACATGTAAGCTTAAACGCTCCTACTGACTTATTCCTCAAGGCCTCATCTATGTGAAGGCCCCTGCAAATAACCAAGAGTTTGTATTCAACAACTCTGCTTGTGTTCTTCACAAATACATGATGATTTTTATGAAACAAATCTGTAGCATCCTAAAACTTTGGTTGGCAGTTCTGTGTAAAATGTGTGTGTGTGTATGTGTTTGTAAGCGTGTTTTAAAACCCGAAGCATGTGGAATATTACAGCCAGGTTAGAATGAAAAATACAAAGTTTGGGTACAAAGTCTGCTCATCCTTCATTTTCCCATGCTTGTGAAATCATAAAATAGGGGAGAAATGGTTTGCTGCTATTTCAAATTCAAAACCAATTTCTTGCAGTGAGGCCTTTGGGTGGTGGAGGGCATTTTTTATTATTTGCAATCATCACTTCTTTGCATGGATAGGGAGGAGGCGGATTAGCACCATCCATATTTATTTTATTTTATTCCCTTTCAGATTTCTCTTGCTTTGAGAGCCCTTCAAGGGTGTCTAAAGCAGACAGCAGCTTCTCTCTCCTGGCAAACTCAGAAAGAATTTCTGTGCTTGTCTATTCACTAAGAAGCAAAAAAAGATGTATTATACAAGTAACTTTTGGATATTTTTTTGCCAGGTATTTTTGTGTTCTCAATAAGTCATTTTGTTGTTGAAATCCCCTGAATAGCAGGTGACGGTTTACTGATATTCACATAGGAAATATCTCAGGGGCATGTATGTTCATGGTAAAATAAGTAAACCATACACCCATATGATAGATCTAGAAACTGGATTTCTGGGATATCATTTCTCTATTTTGTTTAACAGTGTGCCTGGCTGTGAAGTGCTTTAAATTTGGCATCTGTCATTGCCTAGCTTGGCCCAAATTATATGATGCTAAATGCCGTGGAGAATTCGACATGGGGACAATCAGCGTGGGCGATGAGAGCAGTGCAGAGTGCCAGTGCTTGTGTCTAAATATCAGAACTGTTGGCCAGATGCTTCCTGGAGAGCCAGAGAACTCAGCAGCAAGTGTGGGACCCAGAGGCACCAGTGGGACGTGTGTGGGAGACATAAATCACAGGGTATATTCATTTCCCTTGACTCCCTGTGAGCCCATAGGCCCCACCATGGAGAAGCAAGGTCTCCCGTGCACTCTGCTGCCTTTGAGAAGCTGCTCATCCCAACCCGGCCTGCAGTCACTTCACATAATCCCCTAATCAAGTCCTCGGGGGCTGCCATGTATTTTCATGCTTTCGCCCTATTATCCCTCCCTGTTTGAGACTCACGGATAATTGATGATGCTTCAGTTAATCATCTTTTCCCTTCTTTGTTCACCAGGTACCTCAAGCTTTGAAGGGGTCCTTTTATTGAGAATCGATGTCTTCTTCTAGGTAATTGATCACCGTACACCCAGGGACACCCAGCTCATCGTGCAGAGAGGGTAATCATCATGAATAATCAAAAGGCTGTGGCCGCACGGCTGCAGGAGTGCAAGCGGGTGCTGGACCAGCTCTTGTTGGAGGCGTCAGCTGTGTCAGAAGAGGACGAAAGCCAGGACCAGCGGTGCAGAGGTGAGGTCCTGGCGGAGGCGCCGGGGTGTAGGGGACCCAGCAGGCTCGCCCTCCTCTCCCCTGCCCGGACGACACGTTCCCATCTCTGCCCTATTTTTCTTCTCTTGGCAGATGACCACCGAGAGATGAGTGGATTTCTAGGGCATGAATGGGACACGGGCTGCGGGTGGATGGGCCGGGGAGGAAGCCCACTTTGTTGTAGTGAATTGCTGTCAGTTCTAATTTTAGGCTTCAGTAAACATGAGGCTACAAGAAACAAGTTTAGTTCAAGAAGAACAAAGGGTCCAAGTGGGCTGGTGCACGTAAATTTCAATTAATAAAAAATTGAAGCAACTTCTGAATGGTCGCACATACTTTTTTTCATCCTAGGCTTTTGTGCCCACCAGGCACATAGACATCCACGCTTTCTGCAAACACGTCATCTCGTCAGCCCCCACTCCCTTTTTTTGATCATCAATACAATTCTTCTGCCAAATTCACATGTCGTTTGTAAAATAAATCCACTCCTACTGATAAATGCTTCTTGCATCATTAGGAGGCAACATCATTAGGAGAACGTGGTTTCTGCTCATTTTCTAGACTCATTTGTGGTGGTTTCAATCACGAGGTCTAGAAACTGAAAGCTGTAGCTACCTTTGGAGAGGCAGCCTTCCTTCTTTAGATTTTTTTTTTTAGCATTAGAATAAACTTTATTCTCAGGGGCTCTCAGAGGCTACCTGGTCTCTAACAGAACAGCAGGTACCCAGCTCAAGTGAGGGTCCCAGCTCTCCCCAGGGCATGCTGTTGCGCTCTGCTATTTCTGCTAAAGTCTGTCCTTTTCCTTTGTATCTTCAGCCCAAATTCCTTTAAGCCCTGTGTTCTCCCTGGTGAAGCCTCTGAGCCCTCAGTCAGGGAGCATTTTCTTCTTTTTCTTTCCAATTGCAGCAGAATGGGAGAAATAATCATTTTAGTTCCAGATAAGGCAAATCACTGCTGCAAAATCACTCAATTAGCTATGGCCCTTCAGGTAAGCTACTTGGGGAAGGAAGTGGTCAGAGAGGCAGGGGGTGCTCGCTGCGGCTCTGGTCTCTGTCCAATAAACCAGAGGCGAGGAAGCTCCAGGAGGAGCCTTTCGTCATGGCAGCTCGGCCCGAACGCCCTGCCCCGGCGCCATCGGATGCCACAGTCCTTCCCATACCTGGTGGTGTCTGGCAGGTGTGGCCACCAGTGTTGTCACCTGCGTGTGCTCCAAGGGAAAGGCGACTTCTGGGACGGAGTGAGCTGGCTGACTCTCGCGCTACACTGGCTTTTTATTCTCCTCTGCTCCGGTCCCTTTTTTTCCCTCCGAAATTGTCCTTGACAGCGCAGGTGACTCGCCCGAGCAATCTCCAGAGAGAAGGAACTGAAACCCAATCAGAAGGATATTTTTTAGCTGTATTTTGGAGATGTCTTTTCCTTTGGTGTGCCCCATGACTCTCCACGCTCCGGCAAGTGTGTAGAGGCAGGGTGGGGTAGAGGGGGCGAAAGGAGCCCCAGAGAGTGGATGCTCTTCCCTAGCATGGAGAAGTTTGAAAATATTTAAGTGATTCTGTGCCAAAGTATGGCGGAGTTCTGTGCATCCAGAAATCACACTTCTGTTGTCATTTCATTACACCTGGACTTCTGGGCTTGTCACTTGTGGCAGATAATATAGTAGTTGCCTGAGGCACTTTTGAGAGTGAAAGGAACTATGATAAGTACACGCGGACAAGCAAACAGGACAGAAAAGTCACCCCATTCCTAACTGTTTTTTAGTGTTTAAGATAATTCCTCTGTGTGTACAGTGGATCCATTTTCAGAGCATGAAATGTCATCGGAGTAACAGGGCAGGCTTTCTAGCAGACTCTGACCCGAATCCCAATGCTCTGCTGTTCCTGGGGGATGCTATGGCCCAGGGCCCCCCCAAGTTCTGGGTTGCTGAGTCAGGGCAGTGATTTGTAAGTGCCATTTGTAATGTTCCTCAGGGCTCATTCTGGATCATTCATTGGTGAGGCACGTCTGCCGTCCCCTCAGGAGGCTGCCTCTCATTTGCCCAGGTGGTGTCGAGGACACAAAAAGGCATCGTGGGCCAAGGCAGAGTTTCATCTTCTTCTTTTTCTTATTTTTGTTTTTCATTCTCTCTATCATAACTCTTTCGCCCCAGTTAGCTTGTCTCCTGTACACTTGCGACCCATCCTTCTTTTACCCATCATGTTGTGTTTGACAAAAATGCTTCTGCCTTGGGGCGCCCACTCCAGTGGGCAGGATAGATGGGGTTACAAAGCAGCAGGTTGCAGGCTGGAAGGGGCGGGCACCTGTAGGTCCTGGTGACCGACGAGACGTGGCAAAGTTTGCATTGAATGCCGAGGTCAGTAGGCCTGAGCTTGACCATGAAGGGAAGGGAGGGCAATTCAGACAGGAGGACAGGATGTGTAAAACCATTAGAGAAACATCTGCAGGGCAATGGTCTGGCCCACCATGCTTTTATAAAATGGAGGTCAGTGATATGGCAGGCGGAGTGCTCGGAGAGATTGGAAATAGCGATTTGGGTAAGGAAGAGCGGGCAGTAGATTTTGCATTCACAGAATTTAACTGCCAAATGGGTTCCGGGGGATGAGACAGCGAGAAGTCTAGATTAGAGCGAAAAGGCTAGTTGTCAGCAAATGGTAGTGACCTTCATCAAACTAGGTAATTGAGGGGGAAACAGATTTAGGGAAAGGGTGATGAGTTCAGTTTTGGGATAACTTGGTCCCGAAGTGTCTGCAAGACACGCGCCTAGATTGACAGCTGGCACTCAGATAAATGGGTCCATCTTCCCTTATCCAGACCTTAGAGTCCCATATGCTCCAAGTTCCATATTTTTCACATGTTGGGAAGGTTCTGTCAGCCACATTCAACTTGGGCAGAAGCAGGCGGTGTCCATTGTCAAACACTGAAATGTTTGCAGCAAAACTTTTGACTGATCTCGGAGAATAAACAAGACTATATTCTGTAGTCACTTCAAGTCTGATTTGGGTGCCAAAGTTAAGAAAAGTCCTAGTTCAGAGCATTTTGTGTTTCCAAAGTTTGGAAGAAAGAACATGGACTCTGGAGTTAGGTTGGTGACCACAGAGAGAGCGACCGTATCTCTCTTACTAATGTGAAACAGGACCATCTCACGGAAAACTGGTACCAACCCAAATTGCATTTGGGTTTTTTGTATCCGTCGTCTACTGTCAGGTGTAGCCCACAGTGAAAGTTGCAGGCGAGGTGAGGTCTCAGAAGGAAGAAGTTGTACAAATGGGCTTTTGCATAACCAGCCACCCAGCCCCTCATCCACCCCACCTCTGTTCCTTTCTCATTTTACAGGGGAAATAATATTTCCTTCATTCCTTTCTCTGCTTCTTCATGCAGAGATAGTCCCTGGTGTTTACTTCCTGCTAAAACCCTTTCTTAATGCCTGACTACCCCAGTTTACCTGTAGGGCAAAGTAGGCCCGGGCCACCCCTGACAGATAGCTTCTCACTATTATTCTCTGAGTCAGAGCCACAGCTTAGACCCGCCAGCAACAGGTAGGAGCCTTTCTTTGGCCCCTGGGGTGCTTCATCATAACATCGGCACCTCAGCAGCCTTTTCTTTGACTGCCATTTCCTTACCTGCACTTTGACCTTTTCAGCGTCACTCCCCAGCGAGTTAAGGACCCTGATCCAGGAGGCAAAGGAAATGAAGTGGCCCTTCGTGCCTGAGAAGTGGCAGTACAAAGAGGCCGTGGGCCCAGAGGACAAAACAAACCTGCAGGACGTGATCGGCGCCGGGCTGCAACAGTTGCTGGTAGGGAGGCCACCTGTTCCTCTGTCACCCCCAGTGAGGCATGTGGGCCCCTAAGTGATCTCACAGATTAAATTTCTTGCAGGCAGAAGACAGCCCTTGCCTTATGGGCAGCGCTGCCAGATTGACTAATGTGGGGAAAGGCTTTTACAAAAGTGTTGCTTGCCCATGGCCCTTCTGCTGGAAAGCTAAGTCCAGGACAAGTGAGGAAGGGTGGTGGCTGGGTCGATGAGAGCCTCTGCACCTGTAGCCTGGAGTGGCAGAGTAGGAGTCCTTATTGCATGCCCCAGAGGATATTTTTTTTTAAGATTTATTTATTTATGCATACAAGAGCTGGGGTGCAGGCCAGAGATGCGGGGGGTGAGAGGATTCACCGGAGACAGAGTGGGGAACAGAACAGACAGATGTAATGAAATACACTGCTGAGGGGAGCAGCAGGTGACACGGCAGAGGTCTGCTGTGCCATGTGGGTAGCTCCCTGGACGGCCGGGATCGAACTCGTGGATATCTTCACAGTGCTGTGCTTAATCCCTTGCACCACAAGGGCAGGGCCCCAAAGGATATTTTTGTAATGGCACCTTGCAAAAGCTAGGTGGCTGTGAAAAATGAATTCACCGCCATGTCACCCATGTGACTTGCTCTCTAAGCTGTTGACTGTCTCCTCATGATCGGGCTGTTCAGGAAGCATCAAATCAAAGTCACTGACATGCTTTTTCCTCACCTCACTTGCTGGAAATTGTTCGAGTGGGTCCCTCCATCCCAGGCAGAAGAGTCTCAAGAAACAGCACAAGACCTCGGGGCTGAGCTCATTTGGTAGCACTGTTTTCCACCTGCATTCTCGTACGTGACTACCAGGGGAGTCCGTGAACTTGTATTTTTTTCTCACATAAAAATACATATTTGTCTGGAGATCCAGCATTACAAGTGATGACAGTGGGGCGGGTATTTTATCGCTTTACATAAGATTTGTTTTGAGCCTCTCCAAATCAATGTCTAGCATTGTCTTTCCTGATCAAAACGAAGAAGGGAAAGACCCTCTTCTCTACCCACACAACAGCTTCCTTGGGGACTTCGTAGACTTAATAGCAGGCCCGCCCCATTCCCACCTCCCAGACAAGCAGACCAGAGTTAAGCAACCGGGGCTGCAGGCCAAGCTCAGCGAGTACTTGGAAAGAATTCAGAGGTGAGCGAGCGGGGTTAGGAGAGCGTGTTTGGAACGAGTGGGGGTCGTGGGCCCAACAGGGCCGCGGTGTGTGTCCCTACAGAGCCTCGCTGTGCTGCAGGGGCACAGTCAAGTCCTGAGACCAGCCCACAGGCTCTGTTGCCTTTGTCACCCGCCAGTTACAAGTTAAGAAATGAAGGCACAAGCCCTTGAACTGGCTCGGGGAACAGGCCAGGGAGTGGCGCGTCGTGACTGAGTTCCATCCTCTGTCCCGCTGCAGTTCCCCCGGGGGAGGCTCAGGCGAGGACCTGGCAGCCCAGGTGGAGGACCTAGATGCGGGCTGTCGGCTGGTGCCCAGCAGACCTGCACTGAGGGAGGGGCTCTGTGTCTCTGCTGCCCGGCACTGACCCCCGGCCACGTAGGGTCTTGAGCACTTGACGAGTGGCGAGGAAGATGGAAGAATTGAACTGAGTGTTTAGTTTTATTTACTTTTTGCAACCACTGTCCATGGGAACAGCCATGGCTACTCCTGGGTCGGGCAGGGAGGCTCTGTAGCACTAGTGTCACTGGACACTTGTTGGAAATTCAGACCCCTGGGGCCCATCTTTGTCTTGCCGGCCCCAGCCTGGGGGGTGGGGGCAGCTGTCAGGATGGGAGGGCCACGCGGCCCTCCGGACGACCCTGGAGCACGCGGAGTTTGGGCAGCCATGTGCTAAAGAGGAGAGCAGGAAGCGAGGCGGAGAGGGGCAGACAGCTGGGCGGGGCGGCAGAGAAGGAGCAAGGCCAGGGGCAAAGAGACCCCAGCGTGAAGGTTGTAGGAGACCAAGCAGAGAGAAACCTCTTCCCCTCAATTCTGGGAACTGGACCTTTGTCAGGAGCCAAGTCCCCAAGAGCCTGTGGTGGTTTCACTTGCTTGGAGAGCCTGGTGTGACCTGCCCGCTGGCCTGGGAGAACTTGCCAGAGCTTCCACAGAAGGCAAGAACCGGACTCGTCCCCTGGACCTTTGGCCTTTGAAGGTCCCTCTGAATTCCCAGAGATGGAGTGGCAGCCATCCCGTCCCCAGGGCTTTGCTTCTCTCCTTCCATCCCGCCATTTCCAGCTCACTGCTTTCAAAGCTGCGTCCGCGTCACTCTCCTGGCTGAAAATCTGAAGTGGCGTCTGCAAAAACTTCTGAGTACCTTTGGGGGTCAGCGTCAGCTGGGAGACAAGCTGCTCATAGGTTAGATATTTTTAAGGGTGCCTTCATTTTTCCTCGTGCTCCCCTCTATTTATGGCACAGAGGTCACGCCTCCGGAGGCAGAGAGAGGCAAGGAATTTGTGCCCAGATCACAGCGGTGCTCAGCGGCTCGGGAATCAGCCCATTAGGCTTGCTGGAGCCCCTAATGTGTTTAACCTGGGAGCTTTTTGAACTCTGAGCATCATTCTCTTTAGCTTACCCAGCAAGCCATAAATTAAGCAACCACACCTCCTTAAGGCTCTTAGGATGCTTTCCTATTGTGTCGCACCCCAAGTGCACAATCACTAAACCACTCTGTTTTGTAAATACGAGAACTATAGCCCCGAGAGACAGGCTCTTCTGAGCCCCGGCTGCTTTGCACATCTCAGCGTGTTAAAAGTATCCCGAGTAAACGCCGTGGTTTGTTTTGCCCCCTTCTGCTGTGTCTCAATATTGGGCTTTACTGACGAGGGGTGCCCCGGCTTTTAGCACTGACCAATCTCAAAAATCTGTTCTGACATCATAGCAGCTAAAGGCTGCTGAGTTCGTCTTTTCGGTGATGGGCTCTCTCCTTGCGGTTTTTTCATAATTTTTTTTTTTTTAATCTGGAAACAAATCCTTCCCATGCAAACTTTCCCCTTTGTCTTGAGAATTTGCATTATATTTAGAGTGGGAACACGGCGTCCTTAAGTTAATTCCACCAGATCTAGGTTAAGCATAGACTCTATAGGAAAAAAGTAAGTGAGCCACAACTGTTTTCCCGGAGCTCCTGAGTTGGTGGCATCAGGGATGGTTAATAATGGGACTCTCTCGGGCTGAACTGAATCAAGAGAACTTGTGTGTGTTTTGTGCTCGGCTTTCTGTTCACCACGGCCTTCCCGGCTCCTCCCTCCTGCTCCTGTCCTGTCCTCCTACCCCACCCCCAATCTTTTCTCCTTTGGTGTGTGGCCACAGACAGAAATTTATGGCCGGGGCCAACCTCCTTTACACGCCACACAAAGCTTGCCGACTTGAGAGAGTTCGTCCGCTCTCTCCCAGAAAAAACACCTGCAGGATGCACCCCAAGAACCTGGAGAGATGGGAGATTAATGTGCCTGTAATAGCTGGGCAGTGCTTTGGGTATTATGCCCTCTCCCCAGGTAGATGGGCCTTTTCCGAGATGATACCAATTATTTATTGCTGAAACATCTGTTGATAACTGCAGCTGCCCTTGTGAAACAAAGCCGATCGTGGGGTCACAGGCGGCAGGGACCTCAAATCCTACCTCATGCTAGTTTGAGACTATTCAGTCACACCCTCCAGTCCATGGGTTACCATCATCCTCAATGTCTCATCATGCCACAGAAAATACTTTGTAAACACTGCCCTGCCCTGCCCTACGGGCTTTGAAGTATTATTTCATCTTCATTGGTAATTTATATTCCAGGGCCATTGTGCTGTGAAAAAGAGCGGGGAACCTTTTTTGTTTTGCATTTAATTGTCTATCGCCTGACACTTTGACCTGTATTATTAGTATTAGTTAGAAAAAGGATTTTCTCCCTCTCTGATTTAAAAATAAAATTTCAAGGGAAAGTCAGCACTCCTTCAGTGCTTTTCACTCAAAACAATGTTTACACTCTCGGAGGGAAAGATGAAACGCACAAGCAATTTTTTTCAAGTGTCGGCGAAGGGCATTTCAGGTTTTGAAAGAGAACAGTAAGGCACTTATAAATATCATTCAGCAAAAGCTTTGATGGATTTTTCAAAAAGTATTGAAGGCGTTTAGTGTCAGCGCCTGCTTAGCTGGAGTTTCTGCGGGCGCAGGGAGTTCCCCTGTGGAAATCTTGCTGCTGAGATGCGCGGGGATGGAGGGGGCAGGCAGCCTTGTGTGGAGGCCCCTGTGGTCATTTTTTCACTTGCCACGGAACAGAACGAGTGCTGTGCAATTTTAAAAACAGGAAAATTAAGTTTTTAAAGTAGAAATAAAGATCACGGTTGTATTTGCACGTCTGTGGCAGTCGGGGCTGCAGGATGAGCTGTTGATGAGCTGAGGTTTTACGCATCTGTTCCCTGTAGATTTGGAGGTCCTGGTATTGGGGGGGGGTGACTGGACCCTCCTCTTCCCTGTGTGAACCTGGACCCGCTGAGTTCTCTTACAAGGAGGCCCAGGGACCTTTTTAATATTTTGACGAAAGCACAGTCTATGGTGATGAAGCAGCCTCAGAATAAAGGTATATTTTCCATTTTCTTTTCAACTTTACCACCATGAAAATTGTTAAATGAATAGACCTTGATCATAAATATTTTTGGAAAGACCTCCATCACCTTCTGGCGATTTGAACAAAGATCACAAGAAATCAGTGTTTAGTTATTTTCGTTTCTTTTAAGATTTTTTTTTATTTATTTATGAAAGAGCTGGGGTACAGGCCAGAGGCGTGGGACGGTGAGAGGATTCACCAGAGACAGAGCGGGGCGCAAAACAAGTGGACTGACGAAATACACTGCTGAGAGGAGCAGTGGGTGAGACAGGAGAGGTCTGCCGCGCCATGTGGGTATCTCCCTGGCTGGTCGGGAAGCGAACCTGTGCTGCAGAGTCTGTGGACTGCTTCACAGTCTGGCGTTCAACCTGCTGTGCAATCACAGAGG